ATTGCCTATATTTATTCTTTCGGTTATAATAATAAAAGATATATTTATATAGCAAGATTAAAAATAACTTTGGTAGATATCAAAATATCTAGTAGAATAAATCTAATATTGGAGTTTAGTAGGAACCGGGGTAGGTACCTACATTCTATTAGGTAAATCGTAAATCAATTAGGCATCTATTAAAAGTTAGAACTCTCAAGATGTCAAATATAACTTAATACTTTTATAATAATAATGGTTATCTGTTATTAAAAAAAAATGTATGTTCATAAAAAACTCATGAGGTCCTAAAATTTATTTTTGTATTTTTTATTATATATGCGGCTTGGTGTTAATAATCGACCAGCATAGAATCATTAGTCCAGTCCTACTACTTTTACTACCGAGCACTGATAGGAATCATTCTGTCTAAAGTTTCGTTGATTTTAATTGATTATCAATATATTTTTATTGTACAATAATGTACCTACTATTTGTTTTCATACAAATATATATTACTAACTCAAGTAATTCAATGCACTTACTAATATTAATATATTGATACATTAATTTGAAATGCCATTACGTTTCTTATCATACTTACACTTTTAGTTTCAGTGTGCCAATTAGAAAATAGTTTTATAAAAAAATTCCCTGTAAAAAAAACCGTGACCAAATTATAAATAACTGTCAGGTTCATACAGTTAGTGACTAGTAGGAGAAATAGACTAAGCCTTCCATTATAATATATACTTCGTGTTGTAGATGAATCATCGTTACTGCGACGTATATTTTAAAGTCTATACAAAAATGATATATTTTTTTTACACCGTTATAATAATCGATTTATAACGTTTATTAATCTGATTTAATAGGATTATACTAAAATTATTAGTATTATAAATATGATACCTACTTTAATTGTTTTTTCACCATTGCCTACATTTATCTAAAAATATTATTTTTAWTTCGTTGATATACAAAATTAATAGTATTTATCTTAATATATTTAAGTTTTTTAAATAACATAGAGGCACCTATATTAAATGAAACAAAAATCAAAAATTATCTATTTTTTGGCATTAAAATAATTTTGCTTTACAACATTTGTGCATAACAATTCAATGTTCAATTTCTGATACATTTAAAGAACTTAAAAACATTTTATTTAGAAAGTTCATCTTCGTATTTTTAGCATATTATTTCTAATAATTACAAACTGAATACTATAGTACTTATATAGCTATATAGTAATATTGATAGATAGACAAGTACTTAACTTTTTTCAAATATCAAAATACAATAATAGATACCAATAGGTAAAGATTATATATTATTTATATTTCAAGACTAGATTTTATGAGGATATCAATTTATTGTTGGTTTTCTTTCTAGCCCCACATAGAACATAGGCAAAATACATTCATCAACATTTTTTTTTTTTTTTCAGAACTAACTCCTCAATCTTGAAGTAAGAAATGTAAAATCTCTCGTTATAAAAACTATAAAATAATATTGTTTCATATTCATAATAATTTAATAGGTATCCATTTCAATTTTACAAACTTTTTTTAAGTTTGATTTATCAAATCCTCAAGAAAATGTAGCCTATAATTTTTATAATTGACAATATTACTCTAAGATAAATCAAAAATGATATAAATAAAAAAACGATTTTATGTGAATTGTATTATTATCTATGTTGCATTTGATTCCAAGAAAAAAATAATACTGTGTTACATCTTTTTAACTCTTGTCGGTTCGATGTATACTTCATTAGTTTCGTAAAATCTTTTTTTTTCATTAAGTTTTAACTGAAATATTTAAATTATGATTAGCTAAAAAGTGGACAAATACTTAAGATTTGTGTTGAGCAAGTTTACTTTAAGTTGTTTCCTCGGTTAGAATATTATTTATCATATTATCATAAGGACTTCAAGGACTTGTGACTTTGCATTTGAATATTAGATTCTGAACGAAGTGATTAATGTATTGATTTTACAATGATGTGTGTTTTTTTTTT